TTTTTTGATTTATTGTAGAGATGAGGTCTCACCAAGCTGCCCAGGCAGGTCTCGAACCTGCGGGCTCAGGCAATCCACTCACCTCAGCCTTCGTGTGAAGTCTTATATTGCTTAGTTTGGTTTTGAGTTTGTGAGTGGGAGTTACTCATGAGCAAGAGAAACCAGAATGTTCTTAGACAAAGGCAGAAGGCACAGGGGTAGGTGTGAGACTGGCAGTGCAAGGCAGTGAAGAAATATGGACTTCAAAGTGGCCTCAGCATGAAAGAATGGCATGTCTTTTGCCAAAACAAGAAGTTACAGCTACATTTATTGAGCACTTACCATATACCTGGCATGTTTTAAGTTCTTTGTGTATGTTAACTAAGGATACACTTTCATGTGTTGTTTTACGTAAATAAAAACTAGCAAGTGAAGTAATTTCTGAAGATAATGTCAAAAAAAACCACAAGAATATTAAACTTCGTTTTTTACTTCAAAAATAGTATAGTTATTCAGAAAATCTGAAAATGTATCTTCCCAATTATGTTTATAATTTCAGCAAGAGAGAAACACTTTGGAATAACTGAAAATTGCTATATTGTGGTATTGTTCAAAACCAGCTGTTGTTTCATTTGAAAAATAGATTTCTGGCAGCTGCATTGAGAAATTTAGGGTCACATAGCTTGTAGGTCAAGTAATTCATTTAAATTGGTTGAAATTCAGCAACTGATTTCAATTCCAGTTTTCCATCAATGGTGTAAAAATTTCTGTACAGCCTCAGCTACACAGGTGTTTGCATCATGCAGCAGTTACCAAAATTGCTCTTTGTCTTGTATCTGATTGTTTATCTCAATTTAAAATCTTAAAATATATTGAAAAACTGTTAAATATTTTCTTTTTTTTTTTTTTTTTTTTTTTGAGCTGGAGTCTCACTCTGTCACCCAGACTGGAGTGCAGTGGCCGCTCCCAGCCACCGCAGCCTCGACCTGCTGGGCTTCTTAACTTTTATTTTTAAAATGTATTCTTAAGATAATTAAATGTACTTAGATATATTAATTATTTATGCCTGTGTCCAGAAAAAGTTATCTAGTTATAACAAAGCAATTAGTTGATAGGAAATTCAAAATCCTTATTTTTCCACTTGCTTTACTTGAGGGTTTTTTCCCCCATTTTAAATCTCACCTTCTCTTGGCTCAAAACTGGGTGTAGCAAAAATTGAGCCTTAAACTGAACACATTCCTTTTTTTTTTTTGAGTTGGAGTCTCACTCGGTCACCCAGACTGGAGTGCAGTGGCCGCTCCCGGCCACCACAGCCTCGCCTGCTGGGCCCCGGCGATCCTTCCACCTCAGCCTTCCAAGTAGCTGGAATTACAGGCATGCGCTACCACGCCCGGCTGATTTTTTGATTTTATTGTAGAGATGAGGTCTCGCCAAGTTGCCCAGGCAGGTCTCGAACCCACGGGCTCAGGCAATTCACTCACCTCAGCCTCCCAAAGGCGCGGGATTACAGGCTGAGCCACCGAGCCCGGCTGAACACATTCCTTTTTAATGATCCTTAGTTGGAAGTTGCTGAGATAATAATAAAAGGATTCCAGCTGTCCTGGTATGGTTCTTAGAAAGTTAATTAGCTAAGATAGCAGAATGTCATAAATGCTTATTTATTATCTGTACAACTAGGAAGTCAATATCTGATGTTGATTGACTAACAGCCTTTTCTGCCTTCCTCTCTTGTTACAGCAGTAAATAAATATGTATTTGTGTTTAGTTTTTTTGTAAATAACCTTCTCATTTTTGTCATGGAGTTAGTGCTGATTCAGTTCAACCCTTATAGCTGCTATTTTACAGCAATTTCTTTTCTTTTCTTTCTTTCTTTTTTTTTTTTTTGAGTTGGAGTCTCACTCTGTCGCCCAGACTGGAGTGCAGTGGCATGCTCACGGCCACCGCAGCCTCAATCTGCTGGGCCCCGGTGATCCTTCCACTTCAGCCTTCCAAGTAGCCAGAACTATAGGCGCACGCTACCACAACCGGCTGATTTTTGATTTATTGTGGAGACGAGGACTCACCAAGTTGCCCACGTGGGTCCCAAACCTGCAGGCTCAGGCAATCCACTCGCCTCGGCCTCCCAAAGTGCTGGGATTACAGACTGAGCCACCGAGTCTGGCAGTGATTTCTTTAATAACAAGTGAGACATCTAGAAGCAAACTGGTACCCTTTTGTGTTTTCTATCAAAATAGCGAGAGAAGAAACTGACGCCTTAGGATTTCACTTCATTTTGACCTTAGCCTTTCAGAGCGAGAAACTTCACATGGGCCCTGTCTTGGTCAGGCATGTGTATGATTGCTGCAGGTGACAGCAGTAAGGGGCAAAACCAAGTACCTGACCAAAATCTCTGATGCCTAAGTCAGTGTTATGGTACAGATCAAATTCCTTATGTCAAGGTGACCATCATATTCCCTCACTCGTTAAAAAAAACTCTATATGGATAGTCAAATTATAAATGGAAAAATGTTGAGCGAATAATTGAAGAAAGAAGAGTTGACTCTGTGGTCTTGATAACAGTGTCTGAATTGTGGTAATATGACATCTAGTTAGTCACTGTCTTTTTTAAATA